GGTCAGTTGAAAAGCAGCTGCGCTTCCACTGAGCTGCCAAAGCAAGATGACGCAGCGCTGCACTTCCCCGTGGATGATGTCGCTACTCCAATGACATCAATTGAGCTACATGTTCCAAGGGGAATGACACAATCAAGGTCGATGTCGGTGTTTTTACTCATTCAGACCCTACCAAGACACCAAGAATTCATGGGGCACCAATACAACATGGATATGCTAGGGTCGTAGTGGATAAAGTGAGCAAAGATTATGAGGATCTAGCTCTTGACATTCCTGGAGGTGATGGAGAGAAGACTCTAGGAGAAGCAGAGAAGGCATATATACTATGGCGCAAGCGCTACATCATTATCCCTAGGGCGTCTGCTCCACCGCCAGCAGACATTAGGTGCGGACAAAAGTTAACAAAACAATTTTTTGATAATTTTCTATGGGCATGACTAATAATAAGCATTTACTTATATCTCATTATTTTTTGTACTCATAAAGCAGGGCCTCCGCCAACCAAAGTCCAGTTGTTGCTTCTCCCGACCATCATAGTGCTCAGGGCAATGATGACGCCTTCGAAGGCACTGCTACATCCCCACCATCTCCAACTCCTCCGCCGCCTCCAAGGAAGTCCACAACTCCTCCGCCGAGGTCTCCAACGCCTCCACCGCCTCCAAAGTCTGCACTGCCTCCAAGGCGGTCTCCAATGCCTCCCACGCCTCCAAGGAAGCCAGCCTCTAAGAGGTCCGCCCCGCAAACAAAGCCGTTGCAGTACAAAAAGAAGCAGAAAGCAAATACTCATCCAGTTATTCCCCAAAAACTATCTTATGAGAAAAGTGAACAGGAATTAAAGGATGCAGTACAAAAAGAAGTGACAGATTTCTTTGAAGGTGCAAAACAGGCACGACGAGCGAGGGAGAACCTGGAGCCATCATACTTCTTCCTACCTCCAGATCAGCTAAGAAAGAAATTGGAACAAAAAAACGGGATTCTCTTAAGAGCGCCGTGAAACAACCAATATCGGACTATGACCGCTCTCTCACCAAGTCATATGAGGCGGCGCAAAAAAAGAAGAGAGTAGGAAAAGGTGTTGCACAATTCGAACAACAATCGCAACAATCAATCCCCCCTTGTCGTTCCTAACGAATATGGTTCAAACTTAAACTTAGTGGATGAGGTAGGCGGCTATGAGTCGTTTCTTCGGTTTTATGAGGACACTGGTTTGAACCTTGCCGAAGTGCTCGCTGAAGGACCATCTGCTCCGAAAGTGGATCCTTACAAGAAATTTGTACCAGGCCAGAGTCTATACAACCCAGAGAAATTAGGTGAACTAGGTACGCAAATGTATCTGCTAAACGGGTGGTACATGTCGGCGTCTGATGCGGGACAAATCTATCTTTCTGTCAGAATTAGAAACCACCATTACTTCTGTGGCAATGACATTATCTATGTCGAGCTTCCAGAATTACACCAACTGTGCCACCTGGACTCTCTCGACAAAAGTCTCATTAGCTGCTATTGTCTGTAAGTGTGATTATTTTCTACTATATTCATAATTTCTTTATTATATATTCACAATTTTCATGTATGCATATATGAGATGATAGAACTTAGAAAGAGAAAGGATAATGATGTTGGGTTCGTTGATCCGTATGTCGTATACAAACACCCTAACCCCCCGAAGGATTATAAGCCTCAACCTGAGAGAAATCTCATGAATTTCTTAGTGAACCAACGCGACAAGAAGGAGATACTCTTCCCCTACAACTTCAAGTGAGTGTTATTATAAGTAATTAATGTCGATCATATATATGGGACATCAATATTTCTTTACTAGCTAGTTGCCTCTCTCTCTCTCACACACACACACACATATATATATATGCAGCAATCACTGGATATTGATGGTCATCGATATGGTCAATAGTAGATTGAAAATCTTAGACTCGTTGAGAAAACCGCAAACGGAGTATCAAGACATGATAGATATTATACAAGGGTAATTAATTTAGTTTCTCTATAACAACATATATATATAATGGCGCCGATCTCTCAACAATTATTAAAGGTTAAATTATTTTTTTATTTTATTGGGAGCAGGGTTTGGAAAAGGTTCATTAAGGAACAAAAAATGAAACATTGCAAAGCACCACTGGGTGTAATCGCACACAAAGTAAGTACTATAACTACACATTTATATTCAATTAACACCATATGATGATTTCAATTCACCCTAATTGATTTTTTTGTCGTAAAAGTGGGTTCTAAGGCAGGAGTAGGGTAACAACTACTGCGGATAATATGTTTGCGAGTTCATCATGGCGTACTCAAAGAGAACTCCTGAAGAGCAACTCAAAGTACGTATATAAATACTTTTTCCTTTATATTATTTTGATCGTATATTTACAATTTCTTTATTGCTCTCATTTGTATAAGTAATTACATGAGCAATACACATACATATATATATATATATATTAATACTTTTTGCTTTAACTTTTATTGAAGACTGAATGGTTGAGGGAAAGAGTCATACGACTTGACCGACTTAAAGCAATTCGAGAGACTATAGCAAGATTTCTAAATGACCAGGTCATCAACCCCAACGGCGAGTTCTACAATGACCCGAACGAAACGTGGATGCCAAATCTGGAGGAGTGAATTGCTAAGGACGTAAACAATTTATATATCAAACCTTTGTAATATATATATATATATATGCACATATTATATGTACATAAAATAACGTGTGTATATATATGATCATCATATATATATATGCATGTACGCGTATATTCGTTTGTTATTTATATACAAAGTTCGAACGAAAACTTACGCGTGCGAAGTACACATATATATTACTATTAGCAGCGTATTCGAAAATGTATTTTAATATCAAAACTAATCATTAAATGTAAAAAAACCAAAAATAGAAACCAGAAAAAGAAAAAAAAAGAGAGGGACACCAACCGAGACTAAAGGTCATGCCCCGTGACGGACCTTTAGTCCCGAGCGTCAAGCCGGGACTAAAGGATGGTACCTTTAGTCCCGGATTGGTGCTCCCGGTTGGAAAACCTGGACTAAAGAGGTTTTCCAACCGGGAGCAAAAAGCCTTGCTGCACCAGTGATAAGTTCCTCAAGGTGAAGGACAGGTACGACCCGGTTGGAATCTTCTCCATGCGCCGTGCATAGAGAAGATGGCGCATCTCAAACATCATCTTCTCTAATGTTAGAGGCCCTAGATGATGTCTCCGTGTTTGCTGTGACAACTGTCACTGCAAGGGCTACTCCTCGGCTAGCCCGCAGCAGCGTGACGGCATGCTCCTCGGCGGTCCATGCAATGGCAGCAGCGCGTGCTTCTCGGCACCCCAAGCGCTGTGGTCATCTCATTGATAACCTATGTGGCATGGTTTGCTCAACGGTAGCCCGTGTGGCACTGCGTGCTCCTCCTAGGCGGCAACGAGCTCCTCGGTAGCCCTTGCAGCGGCGACGTGCTCCTTGCACTACTGGATTCAGGTTCTTTGCCGAGTGCCTAAGGCACTCGGCAAAGGCTAAATTGTACTCGGCAAAGCCTTTGCCGAGTGTGGTACTCGACAAAGAACACACGACAAATATTTGATCGGTAAAGTCCTCTTTGCCGAGTGTCTTTTATCGGGCACTCGGCAAAGGCTTTGTCGAGTGCCCCAGTGACACTCGGCAAAGAAAAGCGACCGTCACGGCGCCGGTCCCGTTGATGGTCACTTTGCCGAGTGCCAACCCTGCAGGCACTCGGAAAATATTTTTTATTTTTTTAAAGATTTTTGCCGCCGAGTGCCAACCTGCGCAGCACTCGGCAAATATTTTTTTTTTTTAAAAAATTCTTTTGCCGAGTGCCAACCCTCGTGCACTCGGCAAAGATTTTTTATTTTTTTTTTTTTGCCGAGTGCCCTTTCGTGCACTCTCGGCAAAGTTTTTTTTTTTTTTTTTAAAATTCTTTGCCGAAAGTGCCAACCCTTCAGCAAATCGGCAAGAGAGTTTTAATTTTTTTACAAAATTTCTTTGCCGAGTGCCAAACCTCTCGTGCACTTTCGGCAAAGATTTTTTTTTTTTTAATTTCTTTGCCGAAAGGGCCTCTCGCCTAAGACTCTCGGCAAAATTTGAATTTTTTAATTTATTTGTCGAGTGTGCTCTACCAAGACTCTAAGCAAAGTTTGAATTTTTTTTAAAAAATTTTTGCCGAAAGTGCCATGGTCACAAAGACTTGGCAAAGATTTTTTTATTTTTTTAATTTTTTGCCGAGTGCCCTCTGTCCTGCACTCGGCAAAGTTTGAATTTTTTTAAAAAAAAATCTTTGCCGAGTGCCATGGTCACAGCACTCGGCAAAGCTAAATTTTCAGCTTTGCCGAGTGCTGTGACCATAGCACTTGGCAAAGGGGTCATTTGCCGAGTGCAACGCTCGACAAAGTGACCCAAAACGATAATTTTTAATTTTTTTTACATTCCATCATGACAAATAAATTCATACAAACATATATCACATATATATCTCATCCATCACATATATATCTCATTCATCCACACATCCATCCGCACATATCACATCCATCCAATACCAGTTTGCAGGATACAACAAGAATTTCCTGAATGAGAGACAAAAAAATTGCCAAAGATGATCTTCTAAACATGAAAGTTCAGGTATACACACACACGCTCAACACAGTTGTACACACACCTAGCTTTCTCTTCAGCTCTGACAACAGCTGCTTCTAGAATTACAGCATTTCCTCTAGCTTTTCCTAGTTTTGAGCACCACACCTGAGCTTGTTGAAGAGCAGAATCTCTCTCTGTTAGCAAACGATCTCTCTCTTCAACAAGAAGCTTTGCTTTCTCCTACGATTCCCTTAACTGAAACAAAAATACAGACAAGTTCAAATATTTTCATTGACATGAAACATTCTCATGGTGGTCTGAATCTAGTCTATAACACTTTAACTAATAAGCATTAGAAGATATGTGTACTGTATGCGATTGTTACCCTAAGCAAAACGTTCAAGTTCTGACGTAAAAAATCTTCTCTCTTCATCAATTGAACGTGCTGCAGAAGCAGCAGTTTCAGCTGCTTCTGCAGTCTCCTGTAACTTTTCTTCAATTTCATTGATGGTAGAATCACGTGCACGAATATCCTGCAACAATTGGTGGAGTTCGTCGTCTTTAACTCGAAGGGTCTCCTGTTGGTCGCAGATGCATTGCCATTGCCAGAAAAATAGAAACAAGAAAATAATTTCAGTATCCAATCATCAAATTATAGCATATTATAGTTTTAGAAGTATCGCTTTGAAAGACAGACTACAATAAAGTTATCCATCATATGAGCTTTAAATGTTTTATTATAGATGATAAGTTCATTATCAACTTTTGCATCACAGGATTACAAATCAGTTTTCAGTCAGTCAGTGAATTTTTTATGAAGTATTGTTGTCATATAATCCAGCTATAGCAACAGGGTGCTGAATGGGAATATATATCTCCTGTTGGTTGCAGCAAATTTAGTATGCCAGGAAATTGGCTGGTAACTGACAAAATTCCTGTTGATTTAGCAATATTTTTGTTGATTTGGCAAAAAAAAAAAGTTATCATCTATACAAAGTAGTATAGCTTCTCACAGTGCATAAATGGTTTCAGCAACTATAGTCTATAGGACACACCATTTGCTGGTTTTTGGAGCACAGTCTTATGTACATTACATCAGCAATTCTAGCATCCACTGCTCAATTACTGAATAGTAATTCAGGTACTCTTATGTACAAGTAGTATATGGAAGAGCATACCATCATTATTGTGAGATCATCTAATTGGCCTTTGGTAAGTTTATTTGTAGTTGAGCCCAAAGTTGCCCGCAGGGAAATCTTCATTGCAGCCTCTACCTCCTTTGTTGCTTCAATTGCAGTGGCATTGGCTACAGCCACAACAGTTGCAACTGTTCCCAATTTTGCAGGACCATTCTCACCCAATGAATTCACGGCCTCCTTATGAGCCTGTAGTACCAACTGAGTCGCACTGCATATGAAGCAAGAAAATATTATTAGGCTTCAAGGTCTGCAGATATAACAGCAGTACACAAAATGGGAAATGATAGATCTGTGCACATCGAACATATCATACATCAACCAAACGAAATTGAAGGAAGGGATATTATATATACTGAGGCAACCAAGTAACATTATCAATGAGGGAACCAAATGAAACCCTTTGCTTTGCAAGATGCTACAAGCAACTGTTTCTTTGTTTCACTTTGGAACAAGAGCGCCAGTAGCACTAACTATTTACAGGAAGCTTTTCTAATCATTGGGGAAGTGGTGAGCAGTGATCCAGGTCAGCTAATGAGAATACCATAGTAGAGCACCAAATAGAGCAAAATTTTCAACGTTTCTGATTCTGGTTAGAAATTACACAATAAAATAACAAGGAGTTTCACATCTGCTAATTCTAGTGTTTACCCATGAAAGTCTACTCCCTCCATCCTAGAATACAATGGATCAAAGCATTCAAATGTTTTCATTAATGAGTAAATTGCATGAATTTCCATTTAAATAAACCTACCCGTAAAAAATTGCGTGATTTGCCATTATGTGTGCGGTAGTTGAGCAAGGCCTTCTCTAAATTCACCAACCACAGCCACCATATATGCATCAACTAAATAGCAGAGTTTAAGTCAAGGATGCATGGGTCTTTTGAAATTTCTCTTAATCTGTCTTAAATATCTAGGATCCAGGACAAAGGGAGTAGTCCACTAATATGGTTTTCTATTTTTTTTCCGCTTTTCAGTTCTGCCAATACTGACACTTACGGGAACAAATCAAACAGCAACCCACTATAGACCCAGTTGTACAAGTGCAAATAGCAGATTCAACATATATTCAATTAATGTTCATTTAATCTTAGTCAGTCCAGTGGCAGGGAAGAGATAATCCAACAGTAATGCAAAACTCATGGTTCAGGATAAAACCGGTTTCAGGGAATACAAAAGTTAAAAAGATAAATATAATCAAGAACCGTAGATTATCAAAGCTTACTGTAAAGTGGATACCCATGCTCTTGCAGCGCTGGGAGTTTCTGCTCAAAGAAAGTATTCCTTTTTCTGTGGAGTTCCAATATCTAGAACACTAGTCAAAGAACGCAGCTTAATCAAATCTAGACAAAAGGAGAAGAGAGGAAACATTATAACACAAAGATACCCCATAAGGATACAGAAACAGCATCCATCGTATTTTGCCAGTCCACTGCACCAAGTGTTTGCACAGGTCATTACAAAGTTTCCACAGCGATATCCAAAAGTCATGACGGACTAGAATAGAATTAGGTCCATACTGGAAGTTCATAGGCGATAGTGTCACTGTGCTTGTCGAATCAAACACGATTACTCCCCTAACATCTTTGTCACTCCTATGGACCCTACATCATCCAAAAAATTTGGTGTCATTCATTTGGCGTTTCAGGTACCGCCTCTTTGGCAAAAAGGAAAACAACTCTGCAGTTACAGTATTTGTATTCTATTTTTCCAGTTGTAGGATCAAGTATGACCCAGCGCTCATTCCACTTTCTTAGCTGATATATATGAGTAAAAAGAAGAAACATCATAAGTGGAAGCGACAACGTGGAATCCAAACAAAAATAGCAATGCTATGATAATGAGAACACCTCAGAAGTCGCACATAGACTAGATGGTTTATACACGGCTACACTAGCAAGGAACTGAATTTGCAAATAAGAGGAAATGACAGTTGACAGGTAAACAACAAAAAATGTTAACTAGAGGCTCGCAACGGTATCCAAGCGTCAGCAATAACAGCACAGGTTGGCTTTCTAGCTGTTTCCTGCAGTAATTTCTATTGACATCGAGACAGGGAACCTGTACCAAACTGGAAATCCAGAAAGAAAGGGAAATGAAGGGAGTGGATTTACCGTGTCGGATCGCTTCAAGAGAGGGCCCTGGAGGAGGTGGCGGGTGGAGGTGGAGGAGAGCTGGCGCCGCACCCGGTCCAAGCTGCTCTGCATCTCGCCCACCACCTGCGGTCAGCTCGACGCAAGAGCGAGGAGCAAGAGAAATTCCCAGCAGCTCCCGGTGAGATCCCAGCTCAAATCATACGGAAACGCAAAGGAACCCGCCAGCGTCGGCCGATACCTGGCCCGATCCGGGGACAAGAGAGGAGTTGCCGGACTCACCGTGCTGCTGCTCCCGTTCGAGGCCATGGCTAGCTGCCGGTGCCGGCAGGACAAGAGGAAGAAGAGGAAGGAACCCCCTCCTCCTCCTCGCTTCCTCCTCGCCTCCTCCCCCTCCTCCTCCTCCTCCTCCCCTCCTCCATCCGCCGGCGTTGGCGGGCCGGCGTGGGCGAGCTGGCCACGCGCGGAGGGGCTGCGGCTGCGGCGGGCGGCGCGCGGCGCGGGCGCGGGGCTGCGGCTGCGGCGGGCGTGGGGAGTGGCTGCGGCTGCGGCGCGCCGGCGGGTGAGCGGGCGGGGCACGGCGGCGTGCGTGTGTGCATGTGTGGGAGGGAGGGTTCGGTGGCCGGTTGTCTAATGCGGATGGGCCCGATCTGACACTCGGCAAAGAGGCCGGTTTGCCGAGTGGCAGACCACAGACACTCGACAAAGGAAACACTTTGCCAAGTGCTTGACAGCTGGCACTCGGCAAAGAGCATGGCAAACTAATTTTTTTTTTTGGTATTTTGACCTCCAAATTTTTTATGTAGTTCTCTTATAGTACTTGGTACTTCATGTTAAAATTTGGTACATTTCCTGAACTGTTGGCTATATTTAGTTACTTTATTTTGTTTACTTGAATTTTTTCGAAAAATATAAATTTGAACTGCACGTGCATCGAATAATGGAATTTAATGATTCAAAAAATAATATTCACGTTACTGAGTGTAGTGTGAGACCGTATCTAGGAACGGACCCAAAATTTCGAACATCTTGTTCACGAAACATGACCACGAACTTGCGGACGAAGTGTTTATAAATTCTATAAAAAACAAACGAAGTCTGAAAATCATAAAACTTGTTGAAATATCGTAATCTCATATGTGGAGGCTATGATAAAAATTTGAGAATTTTTGGTGCACGTTGTCACGTACGATGCTTCCAAACCAGGACATCTCTACATGTGATATCAGATATCACATGTAGAGATGTCCTGGTGTAAGCATCGTACGTGACAACGTGCACGAAATCTTCTGAAATTTTTATCATAGCCTCCACATATGATATCACGACATCTCAACAAGTTTCATGATTTTCGGACTTCGTTTGCTTTTTATAGAATTTAAAAACACTTCACAGGCAATTTCGCGGACATGTTTCGTGAACAAGATGTCCGAAATTTCGGGTCCGTTCCTGGATACGGCCTCTCACAACACTCACTAACATGACTATCAATTTTCGAATCATTAAACTCCATTATTCGTACTACATGCAGCTTCAAATTTCTAATTTCCGAAAAAATTCAAGTAAACGAAATAAAGTAACTAAATATATCAAAAAGCCAAAAAAAATCCCCAAATTGTAACTAGGAGTTCCTAGTGCTTTAAAAGGTCTGCACAAAAAAATTGGAGGCCAAAAACAAAAAAAACTTTACCGAGTGCCAGGAATAAGGCACTCGGCAAAGAGTGTTTTAAATTTTTTTAAAAAAAATTTCCTCTTTGCCGAGTGCATCCACAGGAGCACTCGGCAAAGAAATTATATAAAAAAAATTAAATCTTTGCCGAGTGCCGTGACAGGGGCACTCGGCAAAGTAATTTTTTTAAAAAAAATCTTTGCCGAGCGTCAGATCTAAGACGCTCGACAAAGAATTTAAAAAAATTAAATCTTTGCCGAGTGCCAGATCTGGGGGCACTCGGCAAAGAAATTTAAAAAAAAATCAAATCTTTGCCGAGTGCCTAATCAAAGAGCGCGCCGGAAAGAAGGCCGTGGACCGAACGCCGCTTTCGCGGGCAGCCTATGCCGAGTGTAGAGATTTTGCCGAGAGTCTGGCACTCGGCAAAGAAGTCCTTTGCCGAGTGTCTGTGTTTGCCAAGTGCCCGGCACTCGGCAAAGAACTCTTTGTCGAGTGCAATTCTTTGTCGAGTGCAGCACTCGGCAAAGAAGGTATTTGCCGAGTGCCCGATTTTTGACACTCGACAAAGAATTTTGCACTCGGCAAAGTCTCTGCTTCTAGTAGTGTTGGCAGTGGCAGTCTTCACGTCGTGCTTCACGGGGGCCGAGGCACTATGGAAGAGGGGAAGAGGGAGGTGTTGATACTATCCTTCATTGCAGGTATAGGTTGCTGCATTACGGGTGCATGCAATTGTATTGCGTATGTTGCATCTGACGATATGGTCAATTTGGGAGAATCCGTGGATGCAAGTTTCTAGTGCTTCTATTATTGTACTTGCCTATATAAGGAGATACCCGGGGAACCAAACAACTAGAACTTGTACTTCTGTGGCCTAGGGGAAGGAGTTGTACCTAGGCAACCGATGAGACCCTACATGTAGTTCTCATGTGTGAGCATGTGTTTGCACTGTATACGTCTAATGTTTTTGAGTATTTTAAACCTTTATAATATTATGATCATGCGTATCCGCACGTTAAGTGGGAGGTCATGAAACACCCACAAATAAAACAGTACACTTGTCACTTGTACATTACAGCTTGTGATATACAAAGGGAGCATACCTTATTGCCATATTCCCTACTAGAGCGCACATGCACTGCGTGGGCGTTGTCGATAGACTAGTATATGTGGTCAATTAATTGAGGGAAATATTCTGTCCACGTGTACAGTGCGTTACTACGATCTCGGCTATGCATGCTCAATTAATTGACGCCGGCCTGTTTAGCGCGTAGTCAGCCCTCTTCGTTAGAGAAGAGCGACGACAACTAATTCGAACCCTGGCCTCAGACATGCATGCATCGTACGTCACCGGCTAATAATTCGGCGTGCATCTCTTCAAAAAAAAAAATCGGCGTGCAAAACGAATGGCGCGTCGCAATGGCGGCAAATATAATGCACGAGCGATGGAACGTCAAGGAGAAGAGAAAAGTCCCCTCTTACGTCTTACGTACTTGATGGCCTGTGCTGACTTGGCTTGTGTCACTGTGAATGCTCGTGCCAAACCCACTCTCCACTCAGCTCACATCCATGCATTGGGCTTGGGGTCTTGGGCTCGATCTGTCAACGTTGGACTGACTTGCATTGGATGAGGATGATGACTTGACCATGCTCCATCTCTCTATCCATGCATATGCGTGCATGCATGCTGCCTGCCACGACCACGGTTGGCTGGCACTAACCAACCCCCTCCTTGTAATTAATATATACTACTATTATTGTCCTAATAAACTGGAAAAAGTAAACAAAAAAATAGATTTCGACCCTTGTTTCAATTACAATATATTATTATTTGCTAAAGAAGCAATATCACCTTGGACCCACTTTAAATACAAATATATTGATGCACGTTTTATACCCTAAGCTTGTACATAATTTGACTAGTTATTCAGTCTATTCATTTGTTGGTTTCAGCCAAGACTTATCAGTCAGCCAACAGTGTTTTTCTCTCACAATAAACCAGCACCAGGCGGACTTATAAGCTAAAAAAACAAACCAGTTAAGAGGTGGATTGACCATAGTTTCTACACCCTCTGCCTGACTTTCTACCTTCGTTCCAAACGCGTGGCGTTATCAGCTCCGGCGAATTAATGCCCTGCAGTTCTGGCCCTGTAACTGCAATACCGTCAATTTGATGGCATACAGCTATAGCTAGCTCTAGCGTTGGAATATACTCACTCGGCTCCAGAATATATCATTTTTTGTACTAAGTTAAAAGACCTAGTTTATATAAAAATATAAAAATAATTATAATACCAAATAAATACAGTATCAAAATATATTTCATGGAGGATATTTCATAATAAAAAACATGATCCAACTTAAGAGGAGCTAGGTGTTCTTTCATTAAAAAGAGAAAATAATAAGCACCCAGATTTAAGCCAAGAGAGGATTTAAACTTGGTTCCAACCAACCAATTCAGCTAGACTCTTATCTTGTCATGAAAAAGATAAGAACAGTTCGTATGTAGGTTAGGTCAGAAATATCTTGAACTAGTCCATTCTTTGTTTGATGCCATGCTCCGCCACTGCTTTCCAGGATTTAGTAATACTTGTTGTTGGTATTGGTATATATTTTTTGAGAAATGCTACAGGACACTCGGTTGTTTCGACCGGTTCCAGCACCCGATTTTTTCAGGCCGCGGCTCTTCGATCGACGCCGCTCTGCATTCACCCGTGACCGCGAGTGCTCCTCTGCCCGCCACGTTCTCCCCGCCGGTCCCCGCGCCGACGCACCCTCTCCTAGCCCCGGTGATCGCCCCCGCACCGCCGTCGTCATCCCCTCCGGCCCTGGCGCCCGTCCTTCTTCCCTCTGCCGCGTCCCCCCAGGTCGCCCCCGCGTCGTTGTCGTCATCCCCTTCGGCCCCAACGCCCAACCTTGTTCCCTCCGCTGCGGCTCCCTAGGTCGCCCCCGCGCCGCCGTCGTCGGCCCTCCGCTGCCACCACCGCGGCTCCCTCCGCCCCTGCTCGCCCGCTCTCTGTCCGTGCTCTGGTTGGATGGTTGTCTGTTGTGGAATATGTGAACAATTTATGAAGAATTTGATGACATTTGTGCACAATTTAGCATATATTGCTTTAATATCTGCATTACATAGAAATAATTTGTAAATATTTTTGAAAAAATTGTATATTTTTGTCTGAGATCTATAATAAGTTATGTTATCCCAAATTACGTCACTCTATTCAATAAATTACACTGAATAAATCAGTGTAAATATAGTAATAAGACAGTGTAAATATAGTTAAAAGATAGTGTAAAATGCATGGGAAAAACAGGTGCTAGGAGCTCACAAAACACACAGCAGATTTTTTTTTTTTGTAAATTTAATAAAATTGGAGAAATTTGATTCATGACAAGCATTCTTTATTTTACGTTTGGAGACAGTACACGAGGTGATATTGTGATGCTGACCGGGGGACTGTCCCATCTCCCATGCATTCTTTCTTTCCCGGCAGCCAACCCCACCTTCCTTTACTCCCAGTTGCTATAAAAAGGCCCACCAGCTCGCTCCACAGCATGCACCACAGCTAGCTATCACGAACAAGATTGTACTCCGTGCACACGTGACACGCCTCTGCTCTCGGCCTCTGCCTGACTGCCTGTG